GTTATATATTTATACATTTATTTCCAATAATGATAGGTTTGGTCCTCCATACATTTTTGCTTCTATTTTTAATTTAAAATAGGTTTCCATTCTCGGCAGGTTTCTAAGGTTCTTCTTCTACATATTAAAAAAAGGTTGTTAAACATCTGATTGTTCTTTTGAGGCCCTCAAGGTGGCGCTCGCAGCCAATGGGTTAAGAATCTCTGATAAAAGGGGACGGACATAGTTTAGCTCTACACCACAATAAAGTGACAAAAGCTATGACTACAAGCGCATAATTCTTTTGTCGAATTGAAATGTACTTGAATTAAATAATCCGAATGTATCGCTCATATGGGCAGAAAATTAATTAATCCGATCATGATGAGCATTTACATGAATATAAGTACTGACGTGCAGAAATGTAAACTTTCCCTAAAAAAAAAACTAAGAAGAAAAAGTTCTACTTCAATGATGAACATAAAGAAATGTTTTGTCTTCTGAGTGCCAAGAATGGACAGCGCTGCTGGAAACTATAGCGCTGCTGCCCCTCCCTCCACACAAGACCAGAGACCAGCGAATCATCTGGTTGATATTGGGCGTACATGTAGTCAGGTCAGTTTACCACAACCAGAATATTATGATCAGATTACATGTTTATATGCACGCCGTTCTGATTATCAACCAACATAAACCACCCCTCTAATTCGGATTACAAATTCATTAGGGATGGGTACCTTTGACATTTGAATCGATTCGGTACCAATATCCGGTCCCTGGGAATCGGTACCGGTACTTAACGGTACCAATTTTTGGTACTTTGTCGGTGTGTTTTTTTTTATAATAAACTTTTTTTTTCATATTCATACATAAAATTAACAAATACAAAGACAACATCCAGCTCTTTGTATTGTAACATCAGCTGTGTAACTTATTTCCTTAAAGTGAAAACTCTTGAAAACAACTAACGTAGTGTTTTCTTATTGCACAAATTAAAATCCAGCTCCACGTATTTCTATTGATGTCATTTCTCCGCTAGAAAAATTGTGTGATGGAGGTCCATGGAAGGCAAATAAGTTTAAATCAAATAAGCAAAAGAGGATGGAGTTAAAATAAATAAAAAGTATTCAAGCTACGTTTTGAGCATCCAAAACGCGTCCAACACTTCAAGCTGGCTGCTTGTGCTCTTTCAGGTCAGACGCGTTCGGACTGTCGGGAAGCACCTCTGTTGTTTTCCTCTGCTGGTCTCTGTTTAATGGCAGATGAAATAAAGAAAATCGCTGTACTTTATTTACTTTGAGCAAGCAAACGTCGAGCTCACAAGATAATTAATCCACCAGATAATTCAGAGGCGATCTGTTCGGCGACTTTACTCCAGGAGCTGCGAGGCTCACACGTTCAAGCTTCGTTCAGACCGAGCTCTGTTTACTGAATCAGCAGCTGCTGACGTCATTACGCTCTTGCGCGATGCTGCGTTCATGAAAAGCATGGAAAACTCACCACTCTTACGCCAATACGGTCGCAATGCTGCGTTCAGGACAAGCATGGAAAACTCACCACTCTTACGCCAATACGGTCGCAATGATGCGTTTAGGTACCGAAACATGGTACCGTTTCATGTTACGTGAATAGGTTCTCGGTNAAGCATGGAAAACTCACCACTCTTACGCCAATACGGTCGCAATGATGCGTTTAGGTACCGAAACATGGTACCGTTTCATGTTACGTGAATAGGTTCTCGGTAGTACCGACAAAATTCAGTCTGTACTTAAAAAATTAACGAATTCGGTACCCATCCCTAATTCCARTTGAGCCGAATCAGATCAGAATATTCCGATAAGGGTTCTTACATGACGCTTTTTTATTCCCATTGACCGTTTATTCCAGTTACTTATGTTTATGTAAACACAGCTTACTGTATGTTACTTTTAGCTGTTACGAAAACACTGCATTTATCAAAACTAATTTTGACTTTACRTCATCTAAACGCCTTGAAATTGGCCTCTGCRTCTTTAAGAACCTCCTACCATTTCAGACTCTCCCACTTCAGCACATCTTCACAACAGTGATTCTGATTTCCCTGATGTCTGTACCTGTCTGAAGCGTTTCAGGTGGAGGATGAGGATGTCTGGCAGCGTCCACAGACTAAGCTTGATGCTGCCCTGCTGAAGCTGCTTACAGTGTGGACATCGCCACGCGTCATCAGGGGCGAGCTGAAATGACATTTAAAAGGATCATAATTAACTACATTAAATGTACACTTCCACACAACTTTAAATTCTGTTGTCTGGTTGCTTCAGCCTACCTGCTCTTCTTTGGTGTATAGCTGCAAACACTGGGCCAGCGTGCAGGTCTGGGGCTGCAGATGCTGCTCCTTCACTTGTCGGACACTCTCGGCGTCCGGGATGTACTCGTCCTCAGTTCTTTTGAACAGACTGTGGGTGTGACGCAGCACAAGTCACAGAGGGAGAACACAGATCGGTCATTAGGTGGACCACCTTACACATCTGCTCTGAGCRTAACGAGCAGCTCGTCTGAGTTTATTACTTACTAGTCTTTTGTCTCTTTGTCCCATTCTACTACRATTTTGACATGAGGTGGGCCTCCTGGGCCGCAGGACTTGAATGCTCTGTTATCAATCATAACAAGAGTATAGTTGTTATTTGAAACGGTCAAGTAAGAAGGAAATGTGACAATGAAAAATAATTTTAGGCTACAAAGGAGGAAATGTTTTAAGGGTTGAACAGYAGAGTTGAGTATGTGGGTTGCACCCATAAAAACATGCCAAAACCTCTCTGCCAATGCCAAAAGACTTACTCTGCTATTGACTCTTGCTTTAAGCTTCTAACACCCACCTGATTTGTGCCTCGTGATCAAACAGTGCTGCTCCCATATCACCACAGTCTGAGACCAAAATATATCCTCCAAGATCACAATGCTTATTTGCACAGAGCAGGATTTATCAGAGACTACCTTCAGTATGTGGTAGTAGAGAGGAGGGAATGGCCTGCCTGCAGTCCTGACCTCAACCCCATCAAACACCTGTGGGATCAGCTTCAGTGTGCAGTGCAGTGCAGTTTTTTTCTTTTCTTTTTCCAGAGCACCACATTGGCTGACTTACAGCAAATGCTGTTTCAAAAATGTTATGCCATTCCACAGCAGTACATGACCAAGTTTTGTACAAGTCAAGTTGTTCCGATTGTCTGTAATTTACACGGCTTTACCGCCATTTTGCAGGTATACAGATGTAAAGAGCAATCTCACCGATTTTTTTTTAAATCTCATGGATTTTTTCAAAAGTTCAAATTCAAATTAATTTTACATCTCAGAGCCTGTAGGACGTAAAAGACAATAACAGATAAAATTATATAAACATCTCATAACCTGCTCTGCCCCTAGAAATAAGTAGAAATAAGTTCAACCTCTCCTCTCCTTGGGCTGCCACCTTATCGTGGTGGAGGGGTTTGAGTGTCCCAATGATCCTAGGAGCTATGCTGTCTGGGGCTTTATGCCCCTGGTAGGGTCACCCAAGGCAGGCAGGTCCTAGGTGAGGAACCAGACAAAGCGCAGCCTGAAGACCCCTTATGATGAACAATAACTTTGGATCTGACGTTCCCTTGCCTGGACGCGGGTCACCGGGGCCCCCCTCTGGAGCCAGGCCTGGAGGTGGGGCACGATGGCGAGCCTTGGAGTTCCCCCGGAGGAGCTGGAAGAAGTGGCTGGGGAAAGAGAGGTCTGGGCCTCCCTTCTGAAGCTGCTGCCCCTGCGACCTGACTTCGGATAAGCGGAAGAAAATGGATGGATGGATGGAAGTTCCACCTCTCCCCGTCCTCCTTTCCCTGTTCCTCTCTGCTGCAGCCATTGTTATCGCCACCCTACGTTCAGTCTGTCGCCGCAGCCGACTGTCCTATTGAAAATGATAGATTTCTGAGGGTYGAGATATAGGTAAACGTCCGAATGGTTTGACATATAGGAAGCTGGTGAGGAAGAGGAGCCAAACTGTTGTGGCTGTCTATGGTTCTCCTACATGCTACCCCTGTTTTATTTTTTTAATGAATAAATTTACAATATCTTGTTTTCATAAACTTCAGTCATTCAGTTAAATAAATAATACCAAATGAGACAATATTTGAGTGTTCTATTTGGCATTGACAGACAAAAAAAACTAGCAAGTTTTTCAATGGCCCAGCCTACATAGCCTGCTGCTGAACAAAAGACGATGCTGTTAGAGGAAATTATAAATAAATTTAAAAAAATTTAAATAAGCCATTACACCTATCTGGAGATACAGTATTAAAACATTAATAGTTCTGAAGTCAAACTATTGGACCTTAGTATTCTGCAAATGAATTTTAAAAGGATTTATATTGTTGCAGTTTATGTGAGGTAACACTGCCCTCTTGTGGTCCAATGAGGCATTACCTCTCCACAGAGGGATGGCAGAGAGGTTGCTCCTCCTGAGGCAACAGATACGTGATGCCAACCACTCCTACAACACGCAAAGTGAAGGGCCCCACCTACAGGCCGTCACAGAGAAGACATTATTCAACTCAGCTGGYAAACAGAACAAGAAGCTATCACAAACTGAAGCTTTGGAGCGCTGATAAGGTGACGTATACCTGCACAAAGACACCAGGACGCAATAAATGCTTCATCTTCTCCAAGATCTCTGTCTGCAGAATATCCCACGTCACTGTACGCTCCAAATAGAGAATAAATGGATTCCCAAACCTGCAGGAATGACAAAAACAGAATTTTTTTAAAATGTTCAAAGATTTAATATCATATTGGTTGCTGTTCAGGTGACGTACCTGCGTCCCTGCTGTCCAGCGCAGGCTCTATTGCACACCAGCAGCACAATCTTCTCAGCCTGCCCGCTGTTCTTATTGGGACTCTGAGGCGGTGTTGTCGGCTCCTGGATCTGTGCGGCTATCCTGTTATTGTCTGTGCCGTACTTCAGGTTGTTCTGATTGAGATTTGCATGTGGACTTCCTGACACAAACAAGCAAACAAAAACAGCACGTGTAGCAGCTTTCTGACAACTTCCTGCCATAAAAGAAAATGAAAACCCAAAGGGGGGGGGATTAAAAATTAAAAACATGTACCGCCTCGCTTTGACCGGATCTGCTCGGGCCTGAACAGCTCGGGCGTCTCGAAGGCGAAGATGGAGTCGCTCTCCTGAATGATCTCGAGGTCTTCGTCGTCATCGCAGAAGGAGCGGTGAAAGCCGTCGAAGTACATTTCGGTGAGGACGATCTGCACGGAGACGGCAAACAAAGAAACAAACACCGTGTGGGCTGACTGGGGGCTCACAAATTAGTCACGCACAAAGTATGAACGCTGACGAGAGGTGGCGGAAGAAGGAGCGGCGCAGCAAAAGCATCTGAGAACATCTAGTCCATCACTCTTTATCAAGCCTCTCATTTCTGACAGCAGCGTGAGGCGGCACCTGTTCTGCGGGGATTTTGGTCTCTTGCGCCACAGCTCGTCTCAACCTGGACACGGTGCCCGAGAGAGGCACCGCCACCCCGACTCTCATACAGTGTGAGCACTTTCCCTGGTACACCACCGTCACATACAGAGGTCTGAAAAACACAAACACACTGTCGTTATTTGGACTGCTTTTGTTTTTCCTAACAAAGCCTCTGTTGACGTCCCCAAAAATAGACAACGGCATCTAATTATAGCTTCGTCCTCTCACACGTTTGTTGGATCTGACACTTCTTTTGTAGCCAGGTTCATCTTACGAGAACTTGTTTTCTTTTTTTTGGTTTTGTTTTTTTTTAACGGGGGTGGAGGGTTTTTTGTCTTACTGATGAGCGGGAGCTAGAGTCACCTTACCGGGTGTGAGGTACTGGGATTGGCAGTGAGATGCAGAGGAAAGGATCAAATGTGTTGCTCTGTTTCTGGCAGTGAGGACAGGTCAGGGAGGACCTAAACACACAAACAAGGACCAGACATTAACTGAATGGAACTTTGTTAATGTGGTGCTGTAAGATAACTTTGGACAAAAGATTCTACGTGAAGCATAATCAGGGCTGCTACTATACATAAAAACTAACTTTAAAAAGGACATATCTTGCTTTTAAAGTGAGGGGTATTATGTGTTTTCCAGGCACATAGTTCAGTTCTATACCTCAGTTAAGTAACTATGTTACCTTCAGTTGTTATGAAAATGCTGTATATTACAAAATTAAATTTGACTTTGCATCATAGCCTACCTAAACACGTTGAAATTGGCCTCTGTCTTTTCAAGATCCTACCATTTCCGACACTCCCACTTCAACACATCTTCACAACAGTGCTTCATGTGGTTTACGATCCTTCTAAGCGTTGGATTTTGTTGTTAAAAAAGAAGCAACATTAYATAAAATCGGTTTGGAAAATTGCAACTCAGGATACAGTTGAACCTTACCCTGGTGATCCCATGTTGGACACAGAAAGTATGTTTTCTAAAGAACCGGAGGGAGCAGAGGCTCTTCCAAGACGTTTCAGTACTTGTCCTCTCATACATATGTTAAGCTACTGGTTGCAAAGAAACTATAAATACAGATCATTATGAATTYTTTGTTTTTAAATCCTTCACACCGCACCCCCTGCTCCAACCTATTCGGCCATTTACAGTATGTAATTTTATAGCAGAGACACGATGATCTAGCAGCACAGAAACTTTTTATTTCACAAACTGATTAAAAGATGTCAACAACAGAAAACTTGTCCATCCAATCTTACACRTTCGAGCCAGAGTSYGACCCAKAGCCAGAGGAGAATGAACCTGCAGAACCGTGGATTCATGAGGTTGATAAGCCAGAAGYTCATGACCTTGTTAAGCAGTTCCACAGTAAACATTGTGACGTTACAGTCCAAAAAGAATAATAGAAAATAGATCAAACTGAACGGACTGAAAACCATGAGCCAAACAGAATATAAAAATGTCCTGATGCATCTCAGTAATCCAGGTAAAAATCAAAAAGAAAAMAATTGTATAGGTCTTCTGGGACGGGTTCTTCTCTAATGAAAGAACCCGTCCTGACCAACAAAGAATATAAAAATRTCTACACAGGACTGGGAGAGACTAAAATCAACATTTCAGCACTACTAGAGACTACACAACGAAATGTATTTAAGGGATTAAAAAAGGTAGATTTTGCATGATATGTCCCCTTTAAGAAAGGTGGTAAAAAGCACCAAGTTTAAAAGAAAAATACAGATTTCTAAGTCAAAATCAGATGTTGGTATACTGATAAAAAGTAAAAATTCATGCTATTGTTATAAAATCATCACATTGAGCTCTTAAGGTCATATTRTTAGCAGCATTTTAACTAGGAGTGATCATTTCACCTGTATTGTGCCTGAAACAGCTCCTGAACAAAAGAGCCAGGTGCTGGTAGCGGAGATCCTTCAGGAACCGGTTCCTCCTCGACTGGAGGCTGATGAAACAAGGCAACAAGTTATTCAACAATATATATATTATATTAAACTGATAAGTTGGGCAACACAAAAGGGACAATATTTAGGTTAAAAAAATATATATATATAAATATACACCTTAATGGGTGGTCTGATRTCGGGGTGGACGATTTGGTTGAGGTCTTCGTGCACTCGGTCGAGCAGCCAGAGCAGGAACTCCTGGGCATCGTGCTGGGAGTTTCCTCTGAACTGAAGGGCGCTCTTTGACACCACATTCTGCGACCGACATCAGAAGGGTTTTAGRGATTTGCACCACATATTGATTTGTTGGTCTGTGAGTGCCACTTGTGTCTTTTTTTGTTGTTTTTTTTTGTTTTTTTTTACAGTGTCTAAATCAAAAAATGTTCCTTGTGTCAGAAGGATGATAACCAGCGCGGAGACGCACGCTTCACCTTAACCTAGGAGCTGCTGATCTGTTTGTTTTCTGCAGAGCTGCTCAGGCTGGCAGCTGGGAGGGAAGTCACCTCTGCTCACACTGACGATCRAATGTCAGGGATATGAAGGGTTTATCTGCCCTGTTGGATAAACCCTCCCATTTTAGAGGTTTAATAAAAAAAACAGCCCCAGGATGTTGTTTATAACGAAATGTCTGTGGGTGAGTATTTTTTTGAGTCTTTATGAAATAGGACACCTTGATAAAAATTGTTATTTATCAACTATTGTGCTGTGTTAAAATTATTAAACTAATTTTTCGGAGAATTTGTGAATTAAATATTCACGCTGGAGTTAGATTTGATTAGTCAGGTGATTAATTATGCCAGTTAYTGTCTTATTTTAAATAATCAGCGTCAAACACAACAAGAGATGACACTAAACKGAATAAAAGGATTGATCAAATCGAACTTGTATTAAATCAGTCTYAGAACACAGATTATGAAGAGCAGAAGTCTTCCTCTAACCTAGGCTAAAGGCTATTCAAAGAAGGCCCTTTTTTCTATTTTTAAGTCTTTTTCAAAAATATCATACTATATTAAAATAAACTAGGGGTGCCCAGATACCTGTTATTCTCAAACCAAATAAAAGTACTTCMGCTTGGGTACTCGCTGATACTGATACTTCCTTATAGGCCTACAGCCTCTCTGACTGGCTAAAATCAAATATACAGCATATGTACTGTTGCAACATTTTTAAATAAATAAAAATAACAAAAAAAAATTCTTTCAACTTTTATGGATTTCTTAAACATGGAAGAGGCGAACTTTTAACTTGAAATGTAAACTGTAAAACATTCACTATCCCAGTACCAATATTGGTATTGGTACTGGTTAGTATCTGGGCATTTTGTACGAATGTAAAAATGCTGGTATCGGAACAACATTACGAGAAGCCTTAGCATTTAAAGGGCATAGTCATCRATTTCCTTTGCTCCATTTTTACTTTCAGCATCTCTTCAAGAAAACATAACTTTTTATYCCCCTTCTTCCATTGACCATTAAGGTTTTTCAAAATAAAACTGACTTTTAGGTTTTTATTTCTAGGAAATATTGAATGGCAATTTGGTAGAAATTGCAGTGTGTGGATATCTATAACATGGCCTTCAGAGGGGCCAAAACCATAAAGAGAACATTCTTATAACAAATAATTGAATTATATAATTAGTATAAAATTACTGTATATGTATTGATAATTGTTTTTGTTCCTGTGGTACTGTGTATTAAACATGATGTTTTGAAAAGCAATGGTTTTTAGCCTCAACAGTCCCATAAGCATCATGCACACATTCAGCATATCTCACACTGTTGAGAATATATCCATTCAGTTGTTTGGATTTTGGCTGGCAACTGATGTCGGAAAATAGACAGAAATAGTAACACTGAAAAAAAAAGCTAAATAGTCCTGTTTAGTTCAGCTTTTGTTGTAGGGTTTTTTGAACTTTTAAAAATAGAATATGAAACAAGATAAAAAAAGTTAAAAAGGAACTCTTATCTGATGTTTTTTTTTTTTTTTGACTGACAAAATCAGACTTAAAAAACCTGAGTCAGTTTCTGAACACTGTGTCTATATGATTTTTTTTTCCTATAACATAAGTCTAACCTTTTATAGTTTTGATCCCCTGGCAACTTCAAATTCAAATGATGCTGCACCAACTGGAGCTACAGTTTTACGTTTAAAAACAACTCAGACAACTTAGAAAAAAGCTCTGCCCTTTGCTCCGTTTCCTTCCTTCAAATTAACATCAGAAGTTGTACATTTAATGAAGAGTCAAATACAAACGAAAATCTATAACACGACAAAAACAAAAAATGTGCTGTCCTCTCCCCAGCCACTTCTTCCAGCTCCTCCGGGGGAACTCCAAGGCGTTCCCAGGCCAGCCGAGAGACATAGTCCCTCCAGCGCGTCCTGGATCTTCCTCTGGGCCTCCTCCCGGTGGGACGTGCCCGGAACACCTCACCAGGGAGGCGTCCAGAAGGCATCCTAACCAGATGCCCGAGCCACCTYAACTGGCTCCTCTCGACGTGGAGGAGCAGTGGCTCCACTCTGAGTCCCTCCCGGATGACCGAGCTTCTCACCCTATSTCTAAGGGAAATATTTGTAAATATTTTATTTGTCATTAAATATGTCATTCACAGAATAGCAGAAATAACTATTCATTTAGGAAAGAACCAACACTGAAGCCTATAAACCTACAGTAGATTTATAAAGGACAGAAGGTATCATGTAACTCCAACTGACCTGCTGACTACTACATCAGACAAACAAGATAAACCTCAGTCTGAGCGTGTTTTGCTGTTTGTGCTGTTTTGAACCATCAGGTTGGAGACTATAGATCTCTTCAAGGGTTTTTTTGGATCCCAGCAAGATGACCCCACTACCATAAAAACCCAGCCAAGAGTGCAATTTATTATTTTACCTTTGTTTAACCAAGCAAATTCTATTGAAACCATAGATCTCTTTTGCAAGAGARGTCTAAATCTAAAGGTAATCGAACATGTTCTTGGTCTGTGGGAGGAAACCAGAGTACCCGAATCCTCAAGAAGAACAGAAAACATGTTTAATAAAAACTAATGGCGTAGCAGTATTACGACTTTCACTGCAGGTTCTCCAAGTTTATGGTGAGCCAACCATAGGCTGTGTAGAGCAGTAGTAGTACAGGGCAGTGAATTTGAATATCTGAAGTCCAGCTAAAATGTGCAAAAAACCTTTGGCCACCCTTTGCACAAAGGTCTAACTTCAYCACTGCTACAACCCCTAATTCTTGAAGTGCTGCATCTGTTTTTACCATCGTAGTTTATTTTGAAAGTGTTCTAAAGTGGAAACAGTCAGGGGTGAGCTCAGCTTTACTGCCAGTTCATTCAGTGTTGATGCATTAAACTAGTAAACATGAATATGCCGTGAAATTCTTGGGAGTGGGTGGTGGTCTTGCTGGCGGGTGTGTGTTTGTGTCTTGGATGAYGGTAGGGGAAACACTGAAATATAAAGATACCTGATTCACAAAATTCAGAGTAGCACAAGTCTGGGTTTTTTTCAGCTACAGGACTGAGTGAACACTTCAGTCATCTTTGAAGCAAAAAGCCTGAAACAGGCAATGGTCCTAAATCATAAAGTGGCAGCTGATTAGCTCTCCTTAAGACTTTGCTTTTAATACCCAGATATTTAATATTTCCTAACTGTAGTTGTGTGTTTAAAGAATTGTTAAAAACACAGTTAATTGGAAGAACTGTAGATTTTAACCAATTTATAGAGTAGTCAGAAACTTTTGAAAAAGAAATTATTAATTCAATAACTTTAGAGAATGAATTTTCCGAGTGCGTAAGGA